CCCATCTTATTTAGTGGCATTAGTGGTATTCAGTTTTATTTAGTTGTTTGTATTATTTGTTAATTAATTAATTATTTGATTACAAATTTTTGCTATCTTAAATAATTTAAAGTTTTTTATCGTTATTATTGTTATTAATTATCATTTATAAGTCCTTTTTATTGTGCATACTTAATTGTTCAATCGATTTTAATGTTTTTTTAAATTTTAAATATATGTATAGTGTATAGTTCTCTTTGAATATATAAACTCTAATGTAGATTTTTATTATAAATTATTATCTAATTGTCATATTTTGTAGCGTGGTCTAGTATTACTACATGTTATTTCTTTGTAAGGTAATTTCCGATTTATTTTAGTCAATATTATATTATTCATTAATCGGTTCCAGTAGGTTTAGCGTATACTGTAAAAAATAAACCGGGTTTATACTTTAACCTTATAGCACATTTCATTTATCGTATTTTAGTTTGTTGTAGCGTTTTAATGTTATTATTTTGAGTATTCTATTCACAATATTTGATTAAGGTTAGTGACATAATCGTATTTTATTTAATCGTCTATTATTATTATAATCGATAAAAAAAATTTTTTAAAGAAAAATTCGTTTGTTTTTTCTTTGTTCGTTTTTTCTTTGTTCGAATTTTGTTTTTTTTTTATCTGATGTTTTATATTATTGAGTGTTTATATTTTATTTGCTTTGTACTAATATGATCGTTAAGAAATTTTCATTTGTTTGCATATTATATTTATAATTGTAATTTTTTTTTTAAAAAAAAAATTATTTTTATTTAATTTTTTTGTTCATTGTGTTGTACGACATTTTATTTTGTTAGCGTGTAAAGGTGTGCGAAAAATTTTATAATTTTTTTTTAATTAATTTGAATAATGCGGTTCCGCGTATAAGTTAAATTATGCATAAATTTATTTACAATTAGTCGAAATAATTATATTATTATAGTTGTTATTTTTATAGTAAAGGAAAATTGTACATGCTTATGTAATTTTGTAGTTCGTTACTTAATTCTGTTAGAGTTTTATGATCATGTTAATAATGTAGCTATTTTGATATTAGAATCAGTAATATTAATTGTTTTAGCGTGGTAAATGCAAACAGTGTAGTAATTTCGTGAGAATTTCTCATTATTGTATCATAATTTATCGTTATTTTATAATATTTGATAATGGTTATTCATTTTACATTTTATTTCTAGATACGGCTAATTTTAATGATATTTATTTTTAAGAAATGTGTCTTTTTGTTGTTTGAATAGGTATCGTAAGAATTACGTATTTGAATTTGTTGTGAAGAGCTTTAAGTGCGTTGAATGTATATAGTATTTTTTATTGATTTTGTATCAGTGTAATTGTTAGTTGTTTATTATAAAAAGTGCGTATTTATCAGGACTTGGTTTTTTTTTTATTTATAATTTATAAAATTCAAAAAAAAAAATTCAAAAAATAAAAAGCAATATAATAAATAATCTGTAAATTCTGTATATTTAGTACGTATATAAAGAAGCATTATGCCATGTTACACAGATACTATTGTGAGAATAAAGTTTGTTCGTCAGACAATAAAAGAAGAAAGTAATCTGATCGTTGTATAGACCATTGGTGCATATCCTGTGGGTCGCAAGGATAATAAAATTGAAATGGTACTATTCGTGCTCACTCACTTTAATGATAGGGATCTTGAAACCCAGGCCATTTTTGAGAGAGATCATTTTTACTCTGTGGGTGGTAAGATCATACCTAGATTTTATACAGGCAATAAAAGGCCAAAGGTATCAGTTGCGATTAATTGAATTTATTTAAGATATTATATTACATTATAGCTACTTATCTTTTATTTATTTTTAGATGACAGTTTCAATTTCGACTGAGGTAAAAATTTTAAACAGAGTTGTTCAGTTAAACAAATGTCTGTTAAAAATTTCTCTAATTGGAGTTCCTCAAGAATTGCCAAAGGTACTGGAGAATGATGAGAATGCAATTTTCAACGTGTTAATTAATGATTATGCTATTCAAGATCATAATTTTATAGCTAAGATTGCATTTCCATATTCTAATTCACGTTTTGCACACTTGAAGAGTATGATTCGTCCACATGATTCACTTGTATTCATCATTGGTCAGATGAAAGTCATTGATAATGATTTTTATATCTATGCAAAAGAGATTAATTTTATTGATATTAGTAGTTTTAAGCGAAAAATTTCTAATGATAGTAGTTCTAGTGGTTCTACTGAAGCTGTCAATACAATTCGTGCAAAACTTCTTCTTACTCACCGAATTATTCACAGAAATTCTCAAGATACTTCAAAAATTGAGGAATCAGCTTTAACAGTTTTTACAGATAATTTGTTATTGCCTGGAAGCACTTCTTCAAAGCGTGTTAGAATTGAAGATGATAATGAATCTATCGAATTTATCAATGTTTTTGGTTCTACTGATAATAATTATACGAAGTCTGTTGGAATTAATAGTTCTTGTGAGGTTATTCAAGATGATAAAATTGAAAATAAAGTAAAAATTGAGAATCGTCAAGAAAATGTTGTACATGGTGGTAAAAAAGAAAAGGATTATATAGGTTGCTCCTTGTGTAGTGCTTTAAGGTCTCATAAGTCTGGTACAAATGTTATTGGTAATGAGAAGGAATAAATATGATAGTTTTATCTAAATATTTCTGTATGGTTATCATATACGGGTAATTATTTTTGAATCTTATATATAGTATATTACATTCTGGTCCAGATTGAAAAATAAATACTCGTATATATGCATTTATATTATATATTGTAAATAAATTATACTTATTGTCATGAATTTTGTAAGTAATATATCATTTCATTTGGCATATATATATTCGTTAAGAGATGGCAATTCTTCATACTGGTTAATTATTATTTATGTATGTGTTGTAATAAATATACTGTATTGTTTGAAGACGATCGTTTGGTTATACTATTCATCATAGCATAAGTGTGAGTGAATACTATACACTGTGTTTTGAGTTTTATTATGTAATGTGTTAAAAAAAACTTAATTATATTAGTTAAGTTTTGAATTATATAAATTCTTTTATGATTTGATTAGTTATTCTTTATTTTTTATATTATACGGCATTATTAAATATTTAATAATTTTATAAGTATTTTTGAATCGTGATTTGCTCATGTGAGTATTATAATGTCTATAGTTAATAAAATAATACAGTATATTTTAATCTTTTTTGAATTTACTTGTATTATAATAGTTAAGTATCCTTTTACGGGTTAGATGCAGGTATTTTAGTAGCAGTATAATAATTACTGGAAGTTATTAAAAATGATATTATCATGTGTTAGAGATACGAATAGTAATTTAGCTAGATATAGTATTTTAATTATTAAGTTTAAAGTCATTCAGAGTATAATAAAATATAGATAATTTTATTTCTGTTATCACTTTTTCGTGAAGAAGATAAAATGTAGTAATCTTTTTTTTGTGGTTTAACTATTGGTAATTACCTTATTGACAGATTAGAAGTAATATATATACGTTTATCATTTTTACAAAGTAACAAAAATCTTACAATGTTTATTAAGATTTTAAAATTCAGATATTTACAAAATAATATGCACAAGAAGTTATTTTAATATATTTTTGCACACTAATATATATATAATTGATAATTCGCAGATTTTCTTTTTTCATTTTAAAGCATTTTAGAGTGCAATGTTTTATAAATCACATTTTTTTAAAAAATTTCTTAATTTTGTAGAATTTCTTCATAAACAATATTGCGTGTAAATGTTCCTTGCATGCTCTAAATATCACCATTTCTTATTATTACTTTGATGTTATTTTCAGATCGGGCTCGCGAAAATGCAACATAAAGCTGGCCATGTGTGAATACGTGTTCAGAAAGATAAAGACCTATATAAGGTAGTGTCTAACTCTGAGATTTATTGATTGTTAAGCGAAGGCAAGTTTACTGGAAATTGTTTTTTCTTCAAAGAGAAAGGGAGTCTTGTATTCTCAGAAGGAAATAATGGTATTCTTGGAAGAAAAACACTACTTCCCTGATAGCTGCCTGTAGCTATTATAGCTTTTATCACATTCAGGTAAAAAGTTTGACAGATTAACCTAGTACTGTTGCATAAACTATTCGCTGGGTCCAAGTTACGAAGACATAAAATTGGTGCACCTATCTTTAAACGCAATTCATAAGGGGGGAGACCATTTGGCATAATTAAATTAAGATATTCTTGTTGATATAGTTCACATATATCATCAGAAACAGAATCATAACTTTTGTAAGTTATAACATTGCCAGGCATCTGGTCTAGAATTATATCACTAATATGATTAATACATTCATTCTTGGTAGCAAGTATGGCATGACCAGTAAAATAGGTAATATCTAAGTAACGTTCAGCTAGATTTGGATAAATATATTCAATAAGAGATTGTAAAGACCCTTCATTTTTCCAAGGTATGATCATATGATTAGGAATACGAATCATATCATCATTAAAAGTTGGTTCCGTTCCATTTCCAATTCTCAATAAAAGATTTCTAAAATTATGATCATGATTATCTTGTATTCTCATATTTATATGCAGTCGATAAATTTCCATTATAGACCATAAAGAAGAACACTTCAAAGAAGCATTTACTATTTGCTCACAACTACTTCTTGAAACTACAGGTAGTATTTGGCGGAAGTCTCCACCAAAGACTATTAACTTTCCACCAAATGGAAGTTCACATTCCATTAAATCTTTAAGTATTCGATCCAAAGCTTCTACTGCATAACGATGTATTATAGGGATTTCATCTCATATAATTAATCTAGCTAAACATAATAAGGAAGCTAACTGGCTTTGTTTGCTAATAATACATGTTGAATTTGCATCAGGGTTTAAAGGAATATTGAACTGTGAATGGGCAATACGCCCCCCAGGCATAAGTAATGCAGCAATTCCAGATAATGCCATGGCAAGAGCAATAAAAGACAATGAGCGAACTTTACAAAGCAAACAAAGATACAAAAAAGTCTTTCCGGATTCAGCTGGACCATCAACAAAAAAACTCCAGATTGGTTTTCTTCAACATGTTCCATAACTCTATTAAATATCATTTTCTGACTTTCATTTAATAATGCAATTTTTTCCAAATCGCTATTATCTATTACAAAGCTAAGTTGTTCTAATATTAATCTTGGTAACTCTTCCTCATACTGTTCATCAGATAGATTAAGCGATGGGAGATCAAATTCATCCAATTTCCTGTGATGCTGTTCTAGAATACTTTTAATATGAAGAAGAACTGTATTGATTTGACATTGACTACTGGGGATACCATTTCGTACAAAATCCTCAGACATGTTAACAAAATTGTCATTCCACAAGGTCCGAACATCTCCTGGCTCTCCAAATACCAATATAATAGCAAACAATCGGCGTAAAGAATAGGGCATTTGAAATTGAGCAGCTTCTCGCATAGTATCATTGTATGGATTTTCTGCTTCTATAATTCTATGTCTCAATGCACTTTCTTGAAAAGTTGCACATAAATAGTCTCCAACTCTTCTTAAATCAGCAAAAGAAGTAGCACCTCTAACATAATTGAGAAGCAAGCGCAAATAATATTTCTCTCCTTTATTCGGATTTACAACATACATCCTTCTAATTATATTTCTCTGACTACATTTTGTTCATTTTTTATTTGCCTTATTCTAAACATAGTAGTGTGGAAACTCACGATAAAGGTAATTCTTAGCATCAGGATCAATTTCATTCATTTTAAAGTATTCTGTTAACATCGTTTTCTTATTTTTATCATTATTAATTACATTGTCAAGACTAACACCTTGTGAAAAAATTACAGTATGTTGATAAGGAAGATGCACTGGTAAGCAAACTACTGATGGATTAATTCGTGACATATTGAATCCAAAAATTCTCCAGCAGGCTTCTGAAGTAGAAACCCACTGGGCATCTAAATTCTGACTAATTTCATCATTAGTTATTTGAAGAGCAGCTCGGTCATGTCCCTTATACACGTATTTGTATAAATATTTGACTGACTTTATACTTGAGCAAATTTCAACGTTGACATGACAATCGTATTTAAATGACAAATAAGGGTTATAAGCAGTGTTTATTTTTCATAGTATGCGCATGTGCGCACACTGTGCAGATCCAATCAAAATTTGAAATAAAACAATTTGATTGGATCCACACAGTGTGTGCACATGTGCACACTGTGAAAAATAAACACTGGTTATAAGGAACAACCCAACGGTTATCTAGCCACACACCTTTGCACAATACTTTACGCCCATTATCACAATGCCAATACACAGGATAAGAATTATTGCCTTCTTTTGTCGTTTGAACAAACTGTTTAGGATAATGCTTAGTATATAATCCATTTTTCATACAGGGTGCTTTTAAATTAGACTTTCCACATGGACCATGTAGTATGTTCGTAACTACTGTTTAGTATAATCTTGGTTCTGTACTTGGATCTGGTATTTCTGCAGAAATAACTGCATCATAATAATCAGCTCCATAAAATTTATCATTGGAATGAAGAATTACTAATAGATGTGCATGTGTAAGGCCACGTTTCTGAAACTCCACCACATGTATATGCACCACTACATGACCAAATAAACCTCGATCAAAAATATTCCCTATAATTTCTTTTAATTTAGCACAAAAAATTCATGCTACAGAATTAAAATATACAATTAATTTTAAAATGCAAGTTATCTGAAACAGTACTATCTTACTAATAAAGTTATAATAATAATAATATATACCTGTAAGATCAGGCCTATCTTGTGAAGTTTGTCCAGGCAAAAGCTTGGAAATAATTTTGGGCCACTTGGGATTGCAAGTAACCGTAATGAATAAATCAGGCATGCCAAACGTTTGAACTAATGCCATCGAATCTTGATATTGTTGATATAGATCACGTGGACTTTCTATAAAAGATGAAGGCAAAATTGTCCAAGCACCAACTTTTGATGCATCTGTTACTCCTGAGTGGTAAGAATCATGCAAGCCTTGGTAAAGCTCTCTACAAAGTTTATCTTGATTCAATCGTAAATAATTAAGTCGCTCAAACTCAATTTTAACATAGTTATCAACAATATACTGTTAAAAAAGCCTCCCTTCATGATGAAGCAATGAAAAAGAATCTTGACATATATGCAACTTGTATGCATAGTACTGTTTTGTAGTTACTTTTTTTTGTGACATATTTTGTAGAATTCCAGAATGCCACCCATGTTCACCACATGAAAAAAAAAGAGGGTATTGCATTGGGTTATAAGAACCGTTTAACTCAGAGACATGTGTAAACCATTAGATTTCGATTTTATAATAATATCCTGTTTTATACGATTTAAGGGTTCATGGCCTTCTACCCAAATACCAGCAACTTGCGAAGCTGTTGGAGTGTTATATATTTGTTGATCCATGCCATGATTCGCCTTAATAATAAGTTAAAGGTTGTTTATAGTATTATTGGAGGCAATTGAGTGAAAATTAGCAACAAATAGATTAAATTCATCTAATATCGATTTGATAATATCTAGACATTATAGTAAGCCTGTTTTCTGTTTCATTTTCAGTATCATTAATATATAACTGAAGAAATTTTGGTGTTTCATTATCTGGAAGAAGAGACTCTATAGAGTGATATATTCCACCATGAACCCGAAATGTATATACTCCATCCTTGTCTGTCAAGAATTGGTGAAAATTATGAATTATTATTATTATATATTTCTATATTATTATAGACTATTATTATATTATTTATTATTATATAATTTTACTATTAGCAAGAGTATCGTTTATCTTGACTCCCATAGACATGAAAGCAAAAACACTATTATAAGCACAAATATTAACACGGAATTCATTTCCCATTTTGTCAAGTCTTATAAATAAATCACTTAAAGGTGCAGCATGTTCAGTTGAAGCCAATCTATTATAAGTATAATAGCAAAGATGAATTATCATTTATTATTATTGTTATTATTAATAATTATTAACAATTTAATAATTTATTTTTTATCTTACTTAATTTTCCCACTAACACAACATATTCCTCCAGTTTCACCTGAAAAAAGCTTGGCATCACAATAAGAACAAACACAAGGAGGTTTTAAAGCATGACGAATAGCTGAAGCTGTTTCTTGAAAATGTAGACCAAATTTATACAATCTTGTGGTTTATTCAAAGAAGTTTGCATATTTGTTCGGGTGTTTTTAGTATTCTCAGTATTATTGGTATCTACAACAGGTTGTGAAAGTATATGACGAAAAGGCGGCATTTGAATAAATATGAACAATGAAGATAACAGTATTCACTTCTATTTATACAAATCTAATTAATAATTAATAATTGATAAAATATGTCAATTAGTCGATACCAACACAATAATAAATAAAAATACTCGAATAAATAAATAAATATAATATACATACTTCTACACCGATTTTGGCCAACTTTAACAATTTATAATAGCTTTGAATTTTCTTATGATAACCTGATAAGTAAATATATGATGGTATATATTCACATTTATAGATCTTACTGTTTTTTAGCTAGAATGATGATAACGAAAAGTATTTTTTTCTTGCACTTCTTATATATTCCATATTTGACTCTTAATTAATTACCTCATAGATCATTCACACGTTACTCTAATTATATATATATTATAACTGATCTTGGGTAATTAATAACTTATGAATAGCGTGATATAGAACTTCAGACTAATATGAAATGACCCGATATGTATACGTGTTATTATCGTGGAAGAAAGTAATCAATGTTTTATACAATGACATGTATTCACTTTAATGTTTTTTTAGCTAGAACGAAAACAAAAAGTATTTTTTCCTGCATTTTTTTATATTGATTTCATATTTGACTCTTAATTACATCATAGATCATTTATACAATAGAATAGTTGATTCATGTGTCATTTTGATATCGTAATTACATCATTTGATTGATATTGGGTAATTAATTTACTTTGATTATACACTTTTTATGCGTCATTTTGATATTGTAATTACATCATTCACTTAATTAACTTACAATTCGATTGAATAGTGTTCGAACCACGTGATTTAAAACCTCAGACTAATGTAAAATCTGAAGTGATAAGTATAATTACAATTTCATTCATTATTTATTTATTTTTAAACTCTAAAGTTTTCTAACCCTTCTCCTTTTCAATGCAAGTACTCTATTACAACCATGAATCGATTTTTGCTGAACCTATTTCATTGTGTAATTATTAGATACGTAATCACATATCAGATTAACTTTTTCCCAATTTAGTAAATATGGGTTGTTTGAAGCCAGGTAGTAATTTACATACATCATGTGATTTTTTAATTTACAAATCTGTTAGCGTTATCAATTAATTTAAAATAATGAATCATTATGTAAGCATATATTCGATGTTACATCATTATTACATTATGAGTTATTCAGTATTCGTTGAATAAGCATTATTCTTATTAAATTCTTATTAAATTAAATTCACACCAACAGGTTCTTGAGAAAAAAGGATGCATAATCACTATATTAAAAATTCTAGATATGCAGAATCAACACATAATAATTAATATATAATAAATAAATGAATAAATGAAATTTTTAAAGTCGCATTAATTAGCACATAACAAACAAAATTAGAAGTTAAACATTTTCTATATCTATAGCCGGATAGGCAAATCCAAGTTACTTTAGGAAGCAATTTGCATCTGATTATGCAATGTTTGTATCACAGATGCTTCAACACGATTTTCTCTACGCGACTTTTATCATTGAAAGAAAACTGAAATATTTTTGCATTATTAACAATCTCCCACAAAAAGAAAATTGTTAAATTGTTAGACGATATTTATCATACAGATGATAGCAAATGGTGAACCGATGGGAAACTGAAAATCGATGTTGGATCTTTTTTTTTTGAAAAGGATCGTCACATCGGAAAAAATAGGAAAGAGGTTTTTTTTTTTTTTTTTTTTTTAAAGTTTTTTCACACATTTTGTAGTATGTATATTTATGATCTATGGTATTTTACGGATCAAATGTACTTAAGAAATTTTGAACTCAGGGGGGTTTTTTTTTCTATTTAAAATTTAGACAGGATAAAATGCAGGATTTACTAATTTCCCCCCACTTCCCATTAGACGAATACAATTATCATTTTACATTGGACGGAGCCAATTACCTCACTGATCATGGTGGCTTGTAGCCACCCAATGTGTCGCAATTAAAGAATAAATTAATTATTAAATATTATTTTCGCAATAATTACATATTTATTAAATTTTTTATTTTTTTTGTTTTAAATAATTCTTTTCATCGTTTAATATTAACGTTTTGCTCCTTTAAGTTTTAACACTTTCAGGTCTTTTTTAATAATAATTTCGCGTAAACGATTAAATAAAATTTTCGCTTTATCAAATATTACTATAAATATTATTTTTGCAATAACTATATATTTATTAAATTTTTTATTTTTTTTGGTTTAAAATAATTCTTTTCGTTGTTTAATATTAACGTTTTGCTCCTTTAAGTTTTAGCACTTTCGCGTTTTTTTTAATAATAATTTTGCATGAATGATTAAATAAAATTTTCGCTTTATCGAATATTAAGATATATTGCTATTCATATTTAATTTATAATGGAAATTTCGCATATTAATGATATTTTTGATATTGAAGAGGACTTTGATATGGACATCAGCGATGGTGAGATTGACAACGCATTCGAATCTATTTTAGATGCAACCAATGGTGTTGGCCAAGCATGGGAAATTATAGATGATGACCCGGAGGTATCAGGAACAGAAAAAGCAAAAACCTATCATTTTCCGGTAAATGAATATGCAGAATGGATTAAGAATCTTGAAAAGGCGGGTTTCATCTATAATCGGCATGATTATCGGCCTAAAGTAGGAGCAAAAAAAAAAAATGAATGGACCGAAAGGTGGTATTGTCATCGTTATGGGGAATACAAAAGCATTGCCGGAAAAAATGCAAATAAAAATCTCGATTAGTGCAAAAAGAAATGAAAAAATGTGGCTGTAAAAGTGGTATTTTTGTTACGCTTCCTGTTAATTTGTCAACAGTGATCTTAAATTATTATTATAAGCATCGTAACCATCATCCTGGTCAACTGTCTGACTTGTATACGTTGCCTCTTTCTAAGAACATTTGCCAATTTATCCAACAGCGTGCTCTCGAGGGACTTGACATTTTTAGCATTAACAAGCTTATGCAATTTCGGGCAATCGAATTACAAGATCAGGTTTTTTTATATTTTTTTTTTAATTGCTATTTGCAAAATAGTGCGATAAATAATCTTGAATTTATAAATTCTGTATATTACTATTGTTAAACAATAATAATGTGCAGAATTCATAGAGTATACAAAGTCATTTGTCACAATTCTGGATATTGCCATTGTTTTAACAATAGTAATATGCAGAATTTATACGATTCGAAATAATTATTTATTGCACTTAGCGATGAGAATTTCTAATTATTAACTATATAAATCATGTTAACAATTAAATTGTTAACATGATTTATATAGTTAACAATTAGAAATTCTCATCGCTAATTGCACTCGATAACTTATTAATATTTTCTTATTTATTTTTATTATTTTTGCTTTTTTTATTTTTTTTTATTTTTTTTGGTTTAAGTTATATTTAATTTTTTTTTTGTTATTTTTATTTTATTTTTTATTCTTTTTTTTAATGCTTTTTTTTTTATTTTCGTTATACTTTGAATTATTTTTTTATTGATTTGTCTTTATTTATTTATTACTTTGTTATTTATTTATTTATTACTTTGTTATTTATTTATTTATTACTTTGTTATTTATTTATTTATTACTTTGTTATTTATTTATTTATTATTTTCGGTATTATTTACAATTTCTTCATTTTTATAAATTAATATTTTTAGGTGTATTCGTTGGAAAACTCTGGTGACCATTCGCAAAATGTTCAGATGCTATGAGATGGATTAATTATACGAGACGATATCTATGCAATCATCTATAATATGATGAAGACATCTTTTTTCTAGATAATGATGAGGTTTGTTCATTGGAAAGGTGGCAAAATAAAATAGTTAGTAGGGTTTGGGCTCTATAGCTTAGTGTTTAAGCTGCCAAACCCCCACAGTATAAGCTAAGGTCCATGGTTTGATTCAGGCTGGAGGCGAAAGAAACTCTGTAACCTTATGATGTTAGGAGCTAATAATTGGATATGGAGCCCTGTGGAAAGTCTAAGTGAAGTACGAATCTAGAATAGGAATTCCCGGAAGGAGATCTAGACATAGAGAGCTGGCGTTATGTAGAAGGTTTTGGGGCAAATAGGTTGCGCATGTAAATCCACGATTGGCAGGGTAGCACCAACAACCCCTGGGCGGTCTG